CTAGATCCCAGAATAATCTAAACCCTATCTTAGTTTCCTTTCTAAAGTAGGGGAAAGATCTGTGAACGTGGATTAGTACTTTATCTATATTTTAAAGATTTATTTCTGTAATTAGAGGATAGATAAATAATTGATCTATTCTTACAGACAGGTCAGATATCTTCTATATTTGATAATATAAATAAATCTATAATTCATTAGTCTAATTAGGTCGATAGGATAATATACGAGTCATTCTTCGGGATGATTTGTATATTCCCTATGCTAAACCCAATTAGAAGAACGAATTATAGTTTTCTTTCTCTAAAATCAATAGAAGGACATTAGGCTGCCCCTCGAGATGGTATAATATCCGACTATGTGAATTTAAATGAAAGAAAATATTAAAATATAAATAAAGCGAATCATGTGAGGAAATAAAATCTTTGTTTAAAAAAAAATCCTGCTTTATCTAAATTTTGCTTAAATTCATTCTCATAACCAAGAAATATATAGATATTTGACCCGCTTTCACGAGTAAATCAAATATCGTATATATATACTAGATTATAAGAATGAATTAATGATTCATTCATCTAATTAGATAAATAGGGAATATATTAATCATCTTTTAGGATGATTCGTATATTCCCTACATTATATCTAATTAGGAAAGTGAATCATAGTTCCTTTTCTTCAAAACAAATAAAAGGATACTAGCCCGCCCTTCGTGGCAGTCTAACATCCGACTACACGGATTTGATTAAAAGAGAACATTCAAAATACAAATAAAGCAAACTATTTTCGATATCCATGTAAAAATATATTTTATTTAGAATAAAACTAATATTTAAAAAAAAAAATTCTTCCCTCCTCTTTTTCTCTTTATTTTGTTTTATATACTTTTATGAAAATATAAAAAAATAATTTTTCTCTCTTCTATTTACATATATATTTAAAATTAGAATAATGATGATATTTTTAAATTAAAATATTAGTTTATAATATTTTTAAATTAATTTAAATAATTAGTTATATTTAAAAAATAAAGTAAAGATTTATTTTCTCACAGCGGGTGCTATGATTGTAAACCCCCCTTTTAGTGTACCTATGCGTATACAAGTTATATTGTATGTGCGAGGATATTTTAAAATATTCTAAAAAAAGTCTTCTACGACAACCCGTAGAAATTTGCATTTGATGCAGTCACTTGGAATTTTGCTTGTAAATAATATACTAAGTGCAAAACAGATCTCCTACAATAGCTCATGGGAGTTTGTATTATTTGTAGTTCTTTTATGATTGCTCTCAAATTATAGATTGCTGATTGTGTAACAAGTACTCTACAACGACCCGTAGGGGCTTACATCTGTTATAGTCTTTCTATACTTTCTCATAGATGACGTGTTGAATATACGCTTGTGTCTGTATATCTACCAATGCTGCTTGCAAGTGAATTGCCCTCTTTATTTGCATTGATTACAAGCATCTCGTAGTATTCAATGTATGTTGCATATATATATTTGCAGGAAACATAGCACTTGAGGATACATCGACCTATCATTGCATATTGATCCTTTAGCACTTGTAAGGGACTATGTCTTCCATTTGCCAATTGGCTGAAGTTGGTAAAATGGACGTTGTTGTATTTGCTGCATATTAACTTCCCTCCTTCGTAGGGAACTTGTATATGCACTCATTATGTGTTGTTGGCGGTGAGCGTAATGTCCGTCATGATCTTATTATTCATATTTGCAAGATATACACCACATTGATTTTAAGCCACTTTATGTTTGAATTAAGTCATGTGCACATCATGAATCTTTTTACACCACTGTTCTTGTATTCATTACAACTCTTCCATCATCACTTGCAAGTATATTGTGTTTCTTATCTATGGCTACTGATAAGTTAGCATGCTCATTGAGAGCATCATGATGTTCTCTTATAATTTCATCATTATTTGTAAATGTGGAATGCTTATAGTCCCTTGGTCCACAAGTCTCATATATGTTCCCTCGCATTTGATTTAAATTGTTATCTTACAAATTAGAATTCTATTTGGAGCATTATGACATTCTTTATATGATTTGATTTGCATATCAAACTCATCCTCATTTGGTCCATATCCAAAGTGGATTCAATTTTGAGTTCAAGTTGTGCAAGTGCATTTGAGTCCAAATCAAATCCCTTGCATCGTTCAAGTTCAGTTCGTCGTCATCCATTGTACGAGTATCCTCTGGTCCAACTCATAGTCTTCGTGAGCTTGAGTTGTTCCAAGGATTATGCTCTAATAGTTCATCGGTTCATTCTTGAGTTCAAATTAAATTTTAAAGGCCTAAGCTAAGTTATGAGCTTGTAGCTCAACCTTGTTGCTCTTGTTAGGCAGTAAAGAGTCAGGCCGAGTTCAAATAACAAGCTCAAGTTCATGATCCAATCTAGTTTGATGTTCAATTGATCGAGTTCAAAAAACACAAGTTTCCAAGCTTTACCAAAGTTTTCACACATTTGATTCAACTTGAGTTCATTTGAATTAAATTTGATTAATTTATTGTATGCTTTAGGTTTCAAGTTCGAAATGTGATTCTGGTCCCAAGTTCTCTTTCCTCGGTCACTGTCACAGTTGATCTGACGTTCACCATAGTCCACATTGCAGGTGTCATTTAAGTATCCATTTGGATTTCAAGTCCAAAGTCCCAAATTAATCAAAAGTCCTTGCCTTATTTCAGGACAAAAATTCGGCAGCTTCCGACTGTCTCCCCCGTTTTAGGGAAAAACCAAGAGCCACCCACCCGCACGTTCAACAAAGATGTGCTAACGGTGGTGTTTGTGAGACACCGCGGTGAAAGTATTTTTATTTTTCTCCCACCACAAGCCAACAAAAGGCGTATATGGGCGCTTTAAAATTTTTTTTTTTAAAAAAAAGAGCAGTTGCTTTCCCCCCGCTCCGGGTACTTATGAGTGACTCCTCTCCGCCGTATGTGCGCACTGGGGGTTCCCATCCTACACACGCGTAATAAAGACGTGCGATGGGCATTTCTGTCTATCTCCACAAACATTAAGTAGAGTTTTGGGTTTAGGTGAGTTACTCGGACACGTGTCGCCGTCGATTAGGCACCGTTGGTGTCTCATCCTACACCAACGCCAAAAAAGTGGCATACTGATGGACATTATTCGGTCTGTCCATGAAACTTCTCGGAGAGCGAGAGAATCTGAGTTAAAAAATTCGTACCTTCACGGATTGATCGGTTGACATCGGCCACGAGGATTGAGGGAGCTAAGTATTATTATTATTATTTTATATTAATATTAATTAGAACTAATTATAACATACTCTTAATAATTTGATTTATTTCGAAGTAAATATAATAGAATAATTAATTCAATATATAATCCATAACTTAATATTACTTTTATTAATTATAACTAATTAACATTAATTAATTCTTTAAGAAAATATATTAATAATATAAAATTATAATAAAAAATTATTTAAATTTTAATATTTAAATTATAAATTAATTCATAATAATTAAATTATAATTAACTATAATTAATTATAATTATAATTAATTATAATTAAAAGCATTCAATCTCTCTCTCTCTCTCCCTCTTTATAGTTCGACAAACTTTGGGATTTGGCCGAATAAGCACGCTTGAGGGAGAAAGTTACCTTCTCAGCTAGCGGACTCCCGTTGTTTGCTTCCGATTTTCCCAGACCGACAGGAAGAGATCATCGGAGGAGGAGGCGAAGTCGGGCAGACAAGATGGAGGTAGGATCGACTTCTCTCTCTCTCTCTCTCTCTCTCTCTCTCTCTCTCTCCGAACGAGAGAGCTCTTGGTTTGGATGGGAGTTAGGAAGGAGCATGGAAGAGGTGAAGAAGGCCAGCCGAAGTCTTCCTTTCTTTCTCCTTTTAACGACGAGAATGTCGCACGACTTGAACAAGCCTCGACAAGCTAGTGATGAGACCATTCGGCGTTGTCGCGGACTGTAGATAAGACTGTAGCAGCGGCGGGTATGGGCTTTGGATTTCAACAGGGATTTGGCAGAGGTATGCAATTTTTTTATTCCTTGGTAGACGTCAACAATTTATTAGAGATTGCATTAAAAAAATACTATTATTATTATTCATCATGTGCTTAACCAAGATTAACTTGCAGATATTTTTATAAAATCCTTACCTATTACGAAGTTTTTACCACTAGAAACAAGTTAACTATATCTAAGAAGAGAGTTAACTTGAGGGAGGGTGATAAGCAAGCCTCCTAGCCTAGATAAGTGTTTTCTCTAATTTCCTCATGTGGTCGCTTACTCTGATGATTGCAGTCTGCTACATTTTTCAGCATTTATTTCTCACCATTGAAATGTAGTCATCTAGGACCTTGCTTCAGGGTCTAACTGATGTATATATTATGGTACTGTTTTTATTAAAATTTGAAACCATAGAAATGAATATAGAAGTTTTCCACATCTTCTCTACTCTATTTCAATTTGTTGTTTCAGTTTCATTAACCTGCTGCAGGAAGCAGCTGGTATTATCGTTAACACATGGAAGATATCAAGTTCTTCTCCATGCCACTGAATAAAATGAGCAAATACAATTTCATATGCCTTTAAAAGCAGATAGGGATAGCATCCTAGCTAGCAAAATCAAATTATAAAACCTCCATCAAACAGTGTACAATATCAAGCAATCAATCTGAGAGAGCAACGACTCCACTTTAAAACATATAATATTGGATCAGTATTTTAAATATATATATATATAGAGAGAGAGAGAGAGAGAGAGAGAGAGAGAGAGAGAGAGAGAGAGAGCAATTCATAATGAAAATATATAGTTAGCATATCAAAGATTTGAGCTTTGCTTCTTTAATAACAACTGATTCAATTGACAACAGATAAATAAGAATGAGAGAAGAATCTGAGAATGCTCAACTTAAAATGCTTTCGTCAAAAGCTTAAACATGTAGCCTATCTAATACAGGTAAGAAAGATTAATAAATGAGCATAGCTCACAGCCTCATAATTCTATCTTTTCTAGACACATGCTTTTAATTTGTACTACTTTATACTCTTTTGATATGAATGATTTGCATCGCAATAACAATTCAACACATAATGAGTTACACTTTCTCACTAATTTCTCCAAACTCTGGATTTAACTTACAAATCCTTTCTTGGTGTTAAATGAAAACGAATAAAAACAATGGAAACCCTGCTCTCCATCTTTACAGTTCCTCCCTCTTCACTATTTCCTAATTACTTAAAATGAAACAAAATAATAAGAGCAATTAAAAGTACATCATAACAAAAAAATCAACTAATCGAAAAGGGGAAAAAACTCACAAACTCTAGTCGCAATCGACCTTAAGATCTGACGGTGGAAGAAAAGAATCCATCGCAAGGCCATGCAGATTGAAATCGGCCTCCTCAATCGTCCAACACTCCTCCAACCGGCGCTTATGATTAATCGATCCCTCACCGTATCTGAACAGAGTGACGACGGTTCGGCCATTGTGAGCGATATTGATGCCATCAATGTAGCGATAATCGTCAATGATGGATTCCATAAAAGTTTCCCAGAAGATGGAAGAATCATTGTTGATGCTTTTGCAGCTGATCTGGGTGGAGGCGGAGATGCGACTGCAGCCAGATTTCATACGGAGGAGATGAGAGTCTTCCAGCTGCATAAGGAGACCAGTGCGTTGGCTAAAGTAGCCCCAAACGGTGTGGCGGATAATGTCGAAGCTGGATGCGCTGCGGGATTTGAGGACATTGGGGCTGACTTCGAGCTTTAGAATGAAGCATTCTTCGTCGTTTATGATTTTTTCGCCGATGCAGACTGCGTCGACGAAGAGATTTGCCGTTGAGCGCGGGTCTAGGCCCTGTAATATCCTAGAAGTCAGAACTACAGTGCATAGCGTTTCAAAGTTAAAAGAAAAAAAAAATTAAAAAAAATCTAAATAATTTTAATGTCACTTAATATCTAAATTTTTATTTTTATTTTAAAGTTTTATAATTTATAAATTACATTAATATATAAAATCTATGAATATAGTATTAGAGTTTTTTTTATAAGTCTAATTAGATTAAAAAAAGCTTCATTTGAGGCAGTTTTCTTTCTGCTTTTTAAAATAATTTTTAGTATAAAAATTTTTTGCCTAAAAAAATTGATTTAAAATTAATAAAAAAACTATTCCAAATAAAATTTTAGTGCCCACCCAAATCATTAGAGTAAGGATATTATTGAGTTAAAATAATTTATAAATTGGATTGGACTCAATTCCATAAATGACTAAAAAGTTATGCTTAATAATGTAAATGAGCAATTTTTAGTTAATTCTAATATGACCTCAGAGATTTCTCTTTCAAATTTATAAATGTAAATTTATTTAAAATCTATTAGAATTCAGCAAATTAAGTATAAATTTATTAATGACATGTAAATAACTCCTATCATATAAGGGTAAGTGCCTAAAGCATATAAAATTCAATGATCGTTGATATAAAGGCTCCATGCTCGAGGGTGTACTCAATTTATTAATAGCAGACAGATTTTTTGGAGCAAATAAAAGTGAAAGAGGATCTTCCTTCTCTATGAGATGAAAGGAAATTTTCAATTAAGGTGAAGAAATCAGTAAAGTAGTGTGATATATTAGTTACAATTCAAAGAAATATGAAAAGTTCATTAAATTTTATTATAATTTGAAGTCAAATATGTTCATATTGAATATGAAGAGAGATGATAATATTGATTTATATTCAAGGCTTCAAAAGTACATGTCAACCTACATTAAGTGTGGATTGAACAATTCTAAATACACTATAAATTCACCTAATGATGCTTATAATAGTTAACTAAAAAAATATTAATTTGCATGTACATTAATAAGCAGAGTAAGGGAGTCAATATAAATTGTTAAAAACATGGTGTTTATTTATAATAGACATAATAGTATTGTCAATGTTTCATCACATCGTATTAAAGGCATAATATGGAGCTTATAATCATCATGTAGCAATCAATATCATGGTAAAGTTCAAAATTGATAGCTATTATGAGAAATATCAGTTGACTTTCAAGGCTTATATAAGAGTTAAATTATATAGAAATTTGACAAAATGCATGTTAAAGACTCAACCATAGTTACTCTCTAAAGAATAAAGTTAGCTTTGATCCTTGGAACCTATTCAACTTAATGATTAATGATATTGTTTATAGTTGTAATAATATTAGCAAGAATGCATGCTCCAATCCATGACTATTTTATTTTATTTTATTTTTCAGGGATACAATATAGAAATAGTTCTTAGATATACACAACATTGTTTTGAATGTAAAAATAATACTGGCAAAAAAAAATGAAGTTTCATCAGGGAAGTTCTTCTATATGATTGAAAGTTTGATTGTCTGCCCCATTAATAAAATTGAACTATATGTCCATGATAATTATCTTAGTGGTGATTTTGAATTGTGGGAGCAGACATGAACATGCAATTTTGTGTCGATATTGATCTCCCAAGCGAATATATGTCAAGAATATATGTCAATTGCAACAAGGAATCAAGGTGTTAGATATTACAACTTATGTTCAAAGTTATATATGTGAGAAGCAATATGAGCTTCATATGTTAAAAATATATATCTAGTTGAAAATGACGACAACTAAGAGATTTAAGAAAAATAAAAAGCATTATTTTGCTAACCCGAATTATGGAGCCGAATAGTGATCTTCTAGAGAAGAGTTAAATGCTCTCAAAGGGAGGAGATAGATGTAGCCATGCAAGGCAATGTAGTGTAGCCAATGGGAAGAAGCTAGGTCATACCCAATATACTTTTAGGATCAAATGCACATCATTTTTGTAACAATTTTTACTTTGCTCTTCTTCTTATTGTAATAATAGTGTAATTATTTAGATTTAACATAATTGTTATAGTAATATCATTGATTTATCTTGCATTGATGTAATGCTTGGCATTTTAATGAATTATACTTTCACTATATTAAAAAATATAGATTTATGAAAAAAGTACTGAAAAAACACATGGCCGAAAATTATGGTTGTATTCCAACAGAAGAACCATCGAAATTTTATTTGGTGACTTTTGGTGGATTGGTATGCCAATAATCTCACACTTATTTCTAACAAACCAGTCTGCTATAAATAAGTAAATATTTTTTTTCCAAACCATCTTCTTCCTCCCATTTGTGTTGTAATAACCTGATATAAGAACAGTCGAACCGTTCGACTCAACTAACCCGGATGTCATTCCACCATTAAGGAATGATCCTTCCTTTAAGTGTTGAATCGGAACTTGGGACATTGCAAGATGCAAGCGTAAGATAGAGAGGGATGCAATGTGAAAGAGATAGCGGCAAGGACATGATCCGTCGACGAGTAGGAAATTGAAGAGTCGAAATTCGATGCAAACCTAGTGTGAAATGCAATGTATTACGAATGAGAGAGAGAGAGAGAGAGAGAGAGAGAGAGAGAGAGAGAGAGAGAGGACTGGACATGTTTTGACTCTATATTTAAGTATGAGTTTTGTGTGTTGTTAAGCACTCTTATTGAAATACAATATGTATATAATACAACATTGCTATTTAATGCTTGTAAATGTCGACCTTTTTATCCATACTTATCTCTGTCACCATCTCATGTTAGCCCATCCACATATTACTATCCACCAAACACACAACCTACTTATTATCCCCTACTACCACCACCTCGTTATGTAGGGCCTTTTACATATACAGACCAGGGATGTATGGGTGTTTAAGAAGGTTCAGATGGTTGTATGCATATTAAGCTTGACAGTGACACGTATATATTCACATCTGATTAATTTTTTCTTATGTTGACAATTATATTTTAATAATATAAAATAATTTTTTAAAAGGTTTAGTTCCCCTAAATAGGCCACGTATAAAATCAAAGATATCATTGGGAGCAAGTTTGATACTACTTATATTTTTTGGAGAAAAATATCTATATATGCTCGTGATATGTATGTGATATCATGAGTTTGATGTAAAGATACTGTAAATCATATAAGAAATTCAATAATTAAGCATGTTCATATTGTAATCATAGCTTATTTTTAAGGAGGGCAACTAGCTAATTCATACATGTCCCGGGGAAGCGCTATTTATACAAAAAGAGGGAGAAAATAAATAAAATCAGATTTTTTATTGTGCATGTTTAGGCAATTCCCTTTATAAAAGCAGTTTAGTTACTCACATTGAGCATAGATGATAATTAGTTAGTTTTTTAGTTTGGCTTCTATTTAAAATTAATTAAATTATGTTTCTATTTTCATTTGCGAAAAGAAGTACTTGGAAGAGAATCTACTATTGTGGAGAATCATAGATACACGCAGTAGTGACAAGATTATCAACAGTGTAATAAAATTAAATAACGAAAACCCTACATAAGAATAATTAATTTTTTTTAATATAATGTAAATAATAATTTAATATTTCATAATTTTATAAGGACTATATACGACCTCAAGATTCGTAAAGTCAATATTATTTAGTCAAGGGATCCTCTCTTGAATTAACACAACATTCAAACTATAATTAATGGTCTCAAAAAGGAAGAAGAATATAAAAGAGGGCTTATGGATTAACTTACAAGCTTTTGCATATGAAGCTCAATCCTCTACTATGGTAGGATAAATTATTACGTGCGGAGTCTGAACGGGATTTTCCATGTAAAAATTCTAATGTCTTTTATGATTATTGCACATCTCTATTCTATTTGTCTATGTGTCAGATCTTCGTACAAGACTCGAAAGCTAAACTTTGTATTTCTCTAGCGTCACCAATGTTCCAGGATGCAATAGTTTGGGCAAAAGTAAAACTTTTCATATAAAATATGTCATATGAGAATATAAGATTGACTATTTTTGGGTATGAAAATTGAAAAGAAACGTCATTGTAAACAGAACCTGTAGAGATCTCCGGAGAGGACGCGGCGGGCCACGCGAAGCGTGCGATTTCTCCGAGCAGGACTGGCGCCAGGCGAGCTTGCCATTACAGCCCGCGCTCATCTTACAGCCAGCCATAATGAGCTCAAAGAACCAGAGCTCGGGATTCTTCTGCCATAACACGAAGCCTCCGATCTCGCTTTTGCCATTCCTTGTTATGGACGGAGGAACGGCGGCAGCGGCGGAGGAGTTATCGTTGCCCATGTGGAACTCCGACGAGCTCATCCGCACCTTCCCAACCACATACATACTCTGCACCGACGTTAGCGCCGCCTGCCCGCCGGTCGCCGCTATGTATTGTTGTAGTATGTACTTGGCCGTTGAGGCTTGCTGCACATATAAACATGTAGTTTTTTATTTACCGTATATATAAGCATGGAATTGTTAGAATTTTATTTATTTTTTAAAAGGGAAATTAAATCATTCATTATTTCTTTTAAATAATCAATTAGGATGGAATGATGTTGTTTGCTAAAATATTTTTGATAACAAAGTGAGAATTTATCATCTTAAAGTTGCATGAAAATTGTACACATATAAATAATTGAAAGCAGCAGAGATATTGCATGAAATTTCTTATACAAAAATAAAAAAAATTGTTCTAAAACTCCGTTTTAGAAATAAAAAAGCCGTCCAAAACGAAGCCTTAGTTGAAGCGTACAACTCAACAAATACAAGTCAAAAGATTATAAAGGGCATTATTCTCATAATTAGAGAGGGTATTAATACATTATAAAAGATTTAAATTATTGGAGATGTTATCTAAGATGGTAAAAGGTGTTTTGTTGTGCTTGAGTTGCTCTCAGACATTAAGTATATAGAAATGTCTGACGTTACACATCAAAAACAAAGAACAAAATTAAATTGGTATGGTTATTTTGTAGATAGGATAGGAGATCATTTATTATATATATGTGGTTGATATTATTTATTTAATCAAATAATATCCAACATAATCATGAAGATATACGTTAAATCCTTGTCTGTTCTAAAAATTCTTTTAAGTATCAAATTGCAACAAGCTCCAAAAACAATTAACAAATAAAAGGATTAGGATTTACAATGGAGGATTCGCAGACGGAACGGTTACTGAATGCGGTGTCGAACGGCACGGGCATAGGGATGAGCGGCGAGCCGATGACGCTGAGGAGGAGCTGCAGCTCCGCGGTCCGGCCGGAAAGCATCGGCGGCGGGGTGTCAGTGGCTTTGTTGAAAGCTTGCGACTTGAGCCAAGCATAGTGATTGTCTTGGTCGGTCGATGACGACGACGATCCTCCCTTCCGGTTGGGAAACATCTCCTCCGGTAAAGGAACCTCGAGGACGGTGTCAAGGGCATCTTCTCGCTCTAGATTTGGGCAAAGCTTCCTCATATGTAGAGAGGAAATAGATTGATCCATCGTTAAATATATCGATCGATGGATCGTCGGAGAGGATGGTATAAATATAGGGATAAATGTTTTGGAAGATGAAGGAAACTTGCTTTTTTTGCGCCTTGGCTACCAAATCGTTGTTGCATTCCGCTACCAAATTCTTTGAAAGTACAATATTTATTTATTGTAAATTATTAATTTAATCAACACCATCTATTTTTGCGCCTCATTGCATTCCGCTCACCTCCATTTATTTCTCCTCGGAGACGGGTGAAATTGCTAAAAATATACTACTATATAAAAGTGGCTTGGGATTCCACCCAAATATAATTCTAGTTTTTTTTTAAGTTTATCAAAGATGAATCTCAACCGTTCATTTTATTTATACATTAATTAATTTATTTTTTAGGTTCTGTTTCACTTATTTAGATTATTAATTGTTCTAAATGTTTACTTAATTATCTGAACGTTTTAAAGTCCGTCGAGTTTCCCTTAGGTCCCTTAGGTCCTTTTGACTAATTTAATTTATTATTAGTTTATTAGTTCTTCTAAACATTTTACTTAATTATTAATTCATTTATGTATTAATGTCTTTACAAGTTTGTTACTTATGCTTCGCCTGAGAAGATTTTTTTATTGCTTTTTAAAATAATGTTTTAGCCAAAAAAAAAAAAAAAATTATACTAAAACAATACTTTAAAAAATAGTAATAAAGCTGCTCCAAACAAAACCTTAGTGCTAACACCTAAACCAATATTATTGCTTCATCTTCTACTCAATTGGCACCATCATCCCCTCTGACTTTTTAATATAATTATTTTCTCTATAACAACATTATAACAACAACAACATCAAGCCTTTGTCCCACTACGTGGGGTCGGCTACATGAATCCTTTTCCTCCATTGTGTCTTATTAAAAGTCAAATTCTCATTTAAATCTAATAAAGAAAGTTCATTTCTAATATTTTCTAATCAAGTCTTTTTAGGTTTGCATCTACCTTTCTTAACATAAGTCAAATCTAATACCTCTACTCTCCTAACCAAATCATCAGAAGGCCGCTATTTTATGCGACCAGACCATCTAAGGCGACTCTCTCTAATCTTATCTTCTACTGGAGCTACTCCAACCTTTTCACGTATATGCTCATTTCGTAACCTATCTCTAAGGGTAAAGCCACTCATCGACCTGAGCATTCTCATCTCTTCCCCACTTATTATTATTCTTCTCTATTAATGGCCAACATTCGGCACCATTAAGCATTGCATGCCACATCATAATCTTATAATATTGTGCACCATATGAACTTATTTTGTTTAAACTCTTGTTGGAGAAATTAAAGTACATACATAACCGTTGCATAGATCTATGGTATATGATCATAAAAAGCTATAAAATTTTTAGAGAATGTTTCATGTGATAGGGTGATTAATGATTAAATTTACATTAGTATAATATTTACCATAAAAAAAATTTAAAGTTCACCATCAAACTTAGGCTTCGTTTGTTATTTTATAAAACAGCTTTTTAGTAAAAAAAATTCTTAAATTTAAAATTTTTGTACTAAAAAAAAAAATTTATAAAATAGCAAAAAAGCTATCCTAAATGAAGCCTTAATATGGTACAACTACTATAATTATCTATATCATATTTTCATCTCGTTGAGATATTTAGGCTTCGATTGAGACAACTTTCTTCATGCTTTATAAAATGACTTTCTATCATAAAATTTTCTAATTCAAGAAACTTTTATACTAGATAGTTGTTTAAGAAAACTGCAAAAAAGTTGTCCCAAAAGGAAGCCTTAATTTAACTATAAGTTGGCTGAACTCGGTATCCAAATGGTCTCAAATTTAGGGTTCTTTTGGGACGACTTTTTTATTGTTTCTTTTAACAGAGTTTTAATTATTTTTTTTAACTAAAACTCTATTTTAAAAAGCAATAAAAAAGTCGACACAAATGAACCTTTAATCTAAAATTTTCTTATTCAAATATGTGTCTACTTCAGTGCCTGATTGAGATGATTTTTTATTATGTATCAATTGACCTCTATTTTTAAACTTCAAAACTTTCAGAGTCCAAAAATATATGTTTGTGTGCTCAAAAATTTAATAATGCAAACAAAATATATTGTCATTAAGAAATTTCTATAAACATGTATGAATTAGTTATAATAGCTGACTATAAAATAACAAAAATATATTTAGGATTCATTTAAGACTGTTTTTTTACAGCTTTTTAGTAAAAAATTAAAGTTTTTGTTCTAAAAAATTATTTTAGTGATAAAAAAAGGCATCACAAATGAAACCTTAACCAAACGCATATTTTTTGAAAGCTAACAACTTATATAGTTTTATAAATAACATTGTTATTTAGATAGTTTTGAAATATGAATGAACCAAAGCAATTCTATCAACGACAAGATAATTAATTAATTAATTATATGGAGAATTTTACAAACAAGTAGATTGAAGTTTTTTATTGGGGAAATACCGTACATTGAAATAAAAGAGATTACAAGTGAAAAAATGAGGAAAAACTATAGTCCGGGTTTTCGTATACAAAAAGAGAAATCAAAGACTCAAAAGAGATGTAACAAAAGCCTAAGGGCTGAAAATAACAAAAAATAGAGCAAAATGCTTGTAAAACTGCCAAATACCAGCACGAAAGGGATAGCAAGAGCAGAGCCCCTGGTTACCAAAAAGATCGTCCAAGGGGCAGCTGAAAAGAACAGCATTCATCATTGTCATATAAAAAACTGCCAGGTCACCAACAGCAGAAAACAGAGAGAGAGAAGTAAGATCGATAGTGGACAACAAAAATATCAAAAATTCTTCTAGGTCGAAGTCTTGCAATCAATGGCATTCCTGATTTTGGTCATCACAATAGCTTGGTAATCAACAATACCACAAAAAATGCTGTCATTTCTAGCTCTCCAAATAAAATAAATGTTTGCACAGGCAGCCAAAAGGTAATAGTTAAATTGAGAGCAGCAAGTCCCTGATCTAAAACACTTTCCAATGTCAGAAATAAATTTGGTCTCATAAGGTGATTGCCCAATCAGGGGAGGAAGGATTTTAGAATGCTAAAAGTGAAAGTGCATTCAAAGAAAAGATGAGCTACAGATTCTTGCTCGGTATGGCAGAAATTACAAACAATGGCATTGCTAATACCACGAGAACGTAAGACATCTGTTATTTTTAATCCATGTTTGAAGGCCATCCAGGCGTAAGCAGAAAAACGAAGGGAGGAATTCTTGTGCCATACCAACTTATGCCACGAGACAGGGTGCAACTGCTATAGAATTGAGACCTGAAATTGTTGAATTTCGGGTTAGTAGTGTCTAGCCAAAGGTGATTTTCGATCTGGTTATTAATACAGACGTTACGAATTTTAGAAACAATAGTAGCCTCAAAACAAAGGGGGATTATCCAGCTATTCCCATTAATAATTTTGCCAACATCCCAACAGTAAAAGGAAGAATAAAAACTTAAATCTCGGGCATTATCCAGAATATCAGCAATGAAGTGCCATTGCACCATGGGTCCCAAAGAAGGGATAGACTGCTTCCATAGTGAATAGTCAGAAAAAAACACTGCTTGATCTTATCAGCCATTATACTTAAATGTTTCCAATACAACAACAACAACAACATCAAGCCTTTATCCCACTACGTGGTGTCGGCTACATGAATCCTTTTCCTCCATTGTGTCCTATTAAAAGTCAAATTCTCGTTTAAATCTAACAAAGAAAGGTCATTCCTAATATTTTTTAACCAAGTCTTTTTAGGTCTACCTCTATCTTTCTTAACATAAGTCAAATCTAATACCTCTACTCTCCTAACCGGGTCATCGGAAGGCCGCCGTTTTATGTGACCAAATCATCTAAGGCGACTCTCTCTGATCTTATCTTCTACTGGAGCTACTCCAACCTTTTCACATATATGTTCATTTCGTATCCTATCTCTAAGGGTAAAGCCATTCATCCACCTGAGCAACCTCATCTCTGCCACACTTAACTTAGTATTATGCTTCTCTTTTAATGGCCAACATTCGGCCCCATAAAGCATTGCAAGCCTCACCACCATTTTATAAAATTTTCCCTAAAGTTTGTGGGGTACTTTTCTATCACACAACAAGCCCGATGCATTCCTCCACTTCAACCATCCAACTTGAATTCTACTGATAATATCTCCATCTATTTCACCATCACTCTGAACAATATATCCAAGATATCTAAAACGTGCACTCTTATTAATGATTGGATCACCGAAAGTCACACACCTCACTAGGTCTATTACTACTAAAATTATACTCCATATATTCTGTTTTAGATCTACTCAAGCGAAAACATTTGTACTCTAAGGTTGCCCTCCATAATTTAAGTTTACCTTCAACTCCCTCTCTAGTCTTATCAACAAGAAGAATATCATCAGCAAAAAGCATACACCAAGGTACATCCTTTTATAAATGTCTAGTGAGAACATCCATGACTAAAGCAAAAAGATATGGGCTTAAGGCTGATCCTTGGTGTAACCCAATTGAAATAGGGAAATACTTGATCAAACCA